CCATCACTAATAAGTATTTAGTTCACTTGAAAATTATTTTCCATCCCATTGGAAACCCAGCATTTGTTTACTTTTTAAAAGCAGTTTCTGAGCTTTAACACTGGACTGCAACTCAGCAGGTTACATTTCACAAGTGAGCTCTCCCCTATCTCTGCTTATTCAGAATGTTGTATATTACTAATTTAACTGCAAGATGTCTCTGTCAAAAGTATCTTCAGATACAATTACAATCGAGAATTATAATCACTTCAGCTGTGAATAATTTCTTGTTTCATGGATTATTATACTATAGACTCAGAGTCTGCATTTGTGTTGTAGAAAGGGATGTCATAATTACTTAAGGGTTTAAATTCAAGTTCAGTGTTCTGCCATTTTCAGAACTAGAAAGGCCTGCCAGACCCAGCTGGGCAATATGCAAAGTCTGCTTAGATTCACTGCAAGTGTTCCTCTTCCTGGGATCCTGAGAGGCCTTGATGCAAAAGAATATGCAACTCATCTGTGAGATTCAGAACTATCAAACTTTGCACATTTCAGTCTACTACATTATTTGTGGGCTCAGAGCTTGTAAAGTTATCTATGCCATGCTCCTCTCAATCCATATGTGGTGCCTTCAACTACCTATGGCATTTTCTGCTACCCTGGATAAGGGAATTGACTGTTCAAAAAGATAAATATTCGTTAACTTCATCAGAATATCATGAAAAGCAAGTAAGAACATTAAAACTTCCAATAAGAACCCTACGAACTGGCTTGAGAACTGTTGCTTTGTATGTTTCAAGTACTATCCACGCCTTGCATTTGGTATTTTATTACGTGAAGATATTGCTGAGCTTACAGAAAATAAAGTTCCATTCAAACCACACTGGAATCTAAGTCTATGGTTTCTAACTTAGGCCACATTTAATATACTTCCTTTTCCTTCCATCATGGCATCTGAAAGCTATGAACACACTAAGCAAGCAATTTCTGCATTTAATCGTTTTGTTTACCTTATTGCCAACTGTGGGTGGTACCTGAACAACAATGTGGGACAAAGAAGGATGGTCCTGAAGTTTCAGCATTACAACCTTAAAAGGAAAAGAAAAAAAAGAAAAAGACATTACTGAGCATTCCCCTTAGCTTGCCCCTCTCCAGTTCCCTGATGTCCACCTCTTGTACCTCTTCCTCTGGAATACAACTGCATATTTCAGTGCTGCAAACAGAACAGATCCTTCTCCCATTCATGCAGCTACCCCACGAAACACCTCTCCCTCCTATAAGTTATGTACTATCCTTACCTTGGTGGTTGGAAGTAACTCAGCTCTCCAGGATAAATCAGTAGCTTCCAGGCTGTAAAAATTCATGCACAGTAAAGGATGAGCATATTCATTATGCAAGTATTACGTTATGCCAGTGGACTAACATACCAGCTTTTTTCTCTCTCTGTATGGATTCATGAGATTTTAAAATGAAAACAAGTTTGGGTCTACTGCACTTAGCTCCATAGTAACTTATCAAACTATAATCATTTCAAATAGTGCAAATCTTGTTCTTGCAAAAACAAGTTAAGTAAAGCTCCAACTTCGTCATACACAAAACATTCAGCAATTATTAGCCATGTAACTGTAGACACATAATGAAAACTCATAATAAACTAAAATAGCACTGGCATGTAATGAACACAGTTCTACTAGCATCATTTGAACATAAAAAGTACCAATTTTTCCTATGGGAATATCTAAAACATACCATGTAAATCAAAATTGTTAGCTGCTGCAGAGCTTGAAGCAGTTCTAAAATGGTATATACTTATATATTGAACTGCAGTCCTTTCAAGTTATGATTTTTAGAATACCAGGATATTTCTCTCTGCCTAAATAAATTGTGTTACATGATCTTAGGACACAGTCCACAGCAAAACTACTATTATTAGATGAGGTTTTAGGTAGCAGTTCTGAACTAAGCTAACCTGCAACTGATGCTGATCAAAGGTTATACAAAGGAGTAACAGCCAGTTGTTCCTTGGATCAGGAAAAAGTAATTATGACATCTGGCTATCCACTGGAGGCAAGACCCTGTGGCTATACACCTCACCACAGACCCCAGAACAGATAAACACTATAGTTCAGTTCCACCTGGAAGCTTTCCCTAATCTGAAGGGTTGACTGAATTTACTTGGAGCTTATTTTGCAAATGTAAGCTAAGCCAGTGTTTTAAATTCATTTTGTAACGATTGTAATGACCCAATTCAAATCATTGCTAAACCCACCCATATTTCTAAATATTTTTCATATGACAATAGGAATTTTGGAATAACTAAAATAAAAGATGCTTCAATCCACTCTGTTAAAGGTTTCGAGTGACATTTGATGTTTTCTGTCACAGGATTCTAAAGAGATGCTTTAGAAGATGTAAAAGACATAAAGAGAACACACAATTTAGGAATCCAGCTCAGCACGCAGCGCCCACAAGAGAGCAACAGGAGCAACTTCTCACTGCTATGAAGATCAGAAATATAGCTTAAATAAGAAAAAGTTTGACTATTCTGCATTCATGCAGTAATTTTAAGAAAACCTATTCTTTACTGTTTTCTTGGTGGTACAGAAAGCATGAATTATTCACAGTAAGAAATTTACTTCCCTAAGAAGGAAGATATTTTACATGATTTAAATTCAAATGTAGTCCCACAAGATCCATTTGAATATAGCACAGGAACTGTTTATACTCACCACATTGGTGAATTACTGTTCATACAGCCATAAATCCAGCTACTTGTGTCCTGTAAAGTCAATACCATAAAATAGTACATGACATATGTATGTACCTCTATCTATAAATAGATTAAAAATAGCAATTCTTTACCCCAAACAATGCAGGAGTTAATGGTGATAATCTTCTCCAAACTTCTACATGCTAGCTGTTTCAGTGCATCACATGTCAGCAACTGTTCTAAAAATCCTCTGATGGCAGAATCTTGGTGCAATTAACTTAGGGAAAAGAGGAACAAACTTCCATATTCATCTCACTCCTTTTCTAATTAAGTGTGCCTGTGGGAGCTATCACTACAGTGACCAAACCCTCATAAGGATGTCAAATGCCAAAGTGTAAAAGCAAAAAAGATAAACACAGTCTCTCAGATTTCCTCAGTCATTTATAATGAAAGATAGCCACCAACTTTTTTCCTTATTTCACAGTGAAGTCAGACTTCTGTATTAGCAGCAAGTGATATCCTCCATTAAAAGTCTTACATCATAATCTTGGAATCACAGGGATGGAAAGATGAAACATGAGAGTGAAAGGTGGGGGTTTCCAGAAACCATTTAAGATAATTTCCATTTGCCACCTTTAAGATACTATAACAAAGGCAAAAATTACCCTATAAACCACTACTAAGATCACAACAACTTTGTAGATAGTGAAGGTGCTACTTGGAAGAACAACTAGAAAAGCACAAAGAATATACAATCTTTTTTTTTCCCATGGTGGTGGTGTGAACCTCTTCTTTGGTAAGGGAAGGAGTGGCAACAGGGACAGGCAGGATGGAATGGGAAAGCACCTCAATTTTTGTTGCCACTCATCTAAAATAAGTTATTCTGAAAAGCATATTTACCCATCTCCAGTTTGCCAAGACATTCCATTCATTCCTTTCAAAAAAATATTAAAAACAATCAAAACCATTTTGGTTGAACTTACGTGTCTTGAGCTAAAGATACAAGAAATGCACATTATAACCTCTCCTCTCAACAGGGAAGAGGATTGAGAAGTTGCTGGTTTTTCATCTGGCTTCCATTCTCTTCTGCTGCTTAGTGGAAGATCTTTGTAGCCTTTCAGGCCCACTTAAATTTTATTATGGAAAAGCAAACTTATAAACAGCTTTCCCAAATTAGAAGTATGGCTGAATTTTGGCAGCACTAAGGATAACGTCTTCATTCAAAACCATCAATACAGAACTGCACTAAATTGAAGGAGAAAAATCATCTGGGGGTAGCCATAGGAGAGGCAAAAATAAAACATTTAAGGTTCAGGTGGCATTGAAGGTTTCAGATCTTGAACATTAAGTGTGACGTGATAAAACAGGAAGCACATCTAACACAATGTATTAGGCTGTGAATGTAAATGGATGTCAGCAATTTCAACAACTGTTCATTAAACTGTCCTAGAACTGCAGTAAAGCTGAATACAAAAAAATGCAGCTTTATAAACAAACTCAAGACATTGAAGTATTTTCTCACCAACAGAGTGTTTTCACAGTAAACATGACTGTATGATTTTCTGTGACTTGCAAGAGGGAATATGAAATATTTTCCATCAGAATCCTTAAAAGAAAAAAAAAAAAAAAGAATTGCTCATCAGTAAAAAAAATACATATAAAAACACAAGGAGGAAAAAATGTTACTTACATTGTAAACTGAGTAAGTCCACTTTGAGGCTTTGACTGTAATCCACGTGGAAGTTCCTAAAAATAAATGGTTTTATATGCCACACTGCAGGACCTATTATTCTTGTCTCCAAAATCTTATCTGTTACTTATTGCCAGGGTCTTATCTCTTACCTGTAAATGACCATAAACTTTCCAAGCTTTAATCAACACTCAGGATTGTTACTGCTTAGAATTACATGCAACAGCTATTATCAGCTACACAGGAAACAGCCAAACCCTAGGATCCGTTATATAGTTACTATATATTCACTGCGAAATAAAAACTCTATGGATCTTGAAACAAAGTTCTCAAGGCAACAAAATGAGTAAGAACCTGTATGGTACTAATGTAATTACAGGGTGACTGATTAAAGCTGAGGCAACATTAGAAACAGTCCCAATCTTTGTTCCTGACTTTTAAGGAAATTAATACAGAAACTTGTGCAGAAGCAAGTCCATGATTAAGTGAATAACATGTACAAGAAAACAGTAACAGTTTAAAGAAATGTCTTGAGAAAAAGAGTAAGACAGAAAAATTAAGAGATGAGAGATATAAACAGTGCAAGTTGTCATGCAATATCTTTCTTCTGTGTAACTACAGTAACAAGTTTATCATGGAAATTTAGCTAAGTGTCAAGAAGTCACCACAAATAGGAAGATGCTAAAACCTGACCCAACAAAAAGGCAAACGATCAAGAAAATCAGTTCCACAACCTCTTTGGTCTCCTGTTCCAGTGTATACTGCCTGTATATTATCACTGTGCACCTATAAGAAAAATCTAGCCTCACCTCTGCAATCTTTCATTAAGTAGTTGAAGACAGCAATAGAATCCCCCTTAGCATTCTCCTTAGCGTGAAAACCCCATTTCACTCAGCCTCTCTCTCTCCCATGGCTTATGCTCAGGAGCTAACATTTCGGTGGGTCTCTGCTCCATACTCACTTTAGTGTATGTCAATGCCTAAATGCCTTCTCATACCAGGACAGCCAAAACAGGACACCAAAGTTCAAGCTACCTTAGTAGTTCTGCAAGAGCTTACATTAAGAAAATTCCTGAAATAAAATGGTTTTCATAAAATAGTTCAGCCCACTTCAGCAAAAGCAGGAACACAGCCGTGCCCTGCAAAAGTTCTGGTTTGTTCCTAAGACTTCATGCAGTCAAATTTCTCACCTTTAACTATGAATTCTTAGCAGTTACAGAGAAACCATTTGTGTGCTGTCCATTTGACCCTGCCATGTCATGAAAAAAAGGAAGATGAAGCAAATCTGAATATTGAGGATTTCTACGAGTAGCACAAAACTAACACAATGGCTCTACAACACCCATACAATCCCTCGCACAATCATGGGATATAACCATATATTAGACTGTACTTTTGACATCCAGCTATTCCCATTTCTGAGATTCTCTGCTGGACACCCTGATGTAAATATGACTCCAGCCTGTCTCCTACAATGTAAGCCATATAGAAATGACAGATTTTTGTGTGCTGAAACCACACAAAAGTTCACAGTTTGGGTCTATAACCCATATATCATTTTAACAATGTCTGAAGAAAGACAAAATGTATTCCAGAAGTTTGTTAGTAAGAAGATGTAACTATTAACTGTCACTGAATCCTGCTTAAAAGAAAACTGCTGCTCACCTGTGAGTTCTGTAAAAGCTTCAGGATTTTCCTCAAACATCTTTGCAGGATGTCTCACAAAGTGGTGATTCAGTACAGACATTCTCTTCTTTGGATCCTCAGTTATCTAAAAAGATAGTAAAAAAAAATTTGAGAATATGCTCATTTACGTAACTGTATTGTTAGCTATCACATGATCATAGCTAACAATACAGTTTTGGGGATGAAAGGCAGGAACGATTGTTATAAGACATGGCACATTTTCTATTTCAAATTCAACAATCTGAACAAATGAAGTGCCATCAGTGGTCAATCACTGCAATACAGAAAGTCTAAACATGTTACGTGAAATAGTATATATTACATTATATATATATCATGCTATATATTATTTATTAGATATTATATGTAATTAACATTATTGTTATATATCATGTTTTAAAGCATAGCTGAAACTTCGAGGAGTTTTATATGCTTGCCTACTCTTAACACAAGGAAACCATTCGATCAGACTTTCTTTATAGACACTCCTGCATTCTTCCTGAAATAACACACTTAGGCCAGAGTTTAGGAAAAATCCTCAGTTATATTTACTAGTCTGAATTCACAAATCCAGCTTACTACATCACACCTTAACATTTCAAGCATCCAAACAGCTGCAGAGCTACAGTGGGATTTGCTTTTGTTTGGGGTTGTTTTGTTTGTTAGTTTTGGGGATTTTGGAGGGTGGTGGTATTCAAAATAACATTCCCAGGACTAATTTTTGCCTATTCACCTTTTCCGAATTGTGGCATTACAACTGATTTCTGAAAAGTTTTACCCTCCAGCACTGTCAGTCAACTCCAGAACAACTGCACCCCCTTTCCGTCTCTAAATCACATGCTAAAGTGAGCACACCTAAGAAACTAGGGAAGTCTGTCCCAAAGAGCCTCAAGGAGAACACCTGGAAGCCTTTCTCTTCTATATGTGGGGCTCTGCTGTTACGTATTTTCAACCTCTTGTACCTCAATTCCAAGTCCTGTTTAGTGCTTCATAACACTTCAGAAAGAACAGAGCACAATGGCAGATCTCTCCAACAGTTTTCAAAAGGTAAGATGTAAGGTATTTATTTAGAAAAGCAGTAAATAATGGTACCTGAAGGTAAACAGACATGCTAGTATTTTACTTGCATTCTATTTTTGTAAACGCTATTTGCAGAAGAACACCACAAATGCATGCTGGCCACTATGACACCACCACATGGTGAGAATTATTATGTCCCAGTTAATCTATCACAGTTTTTCACCCTTTGTTATAAGAGAAGGTAACTTAAACTCACATTAAGAGGTCATTCAAAGCTACATAGCTAGCAAAACTTGCTTATCCTAGTTCAAGGTCAACTAAACGTGCTGCATATGGAAGTGCAGTCCATGCCCCAGCTATAAAGCATCAAGCAGTCAATTAGGTGTAACTCGGTTTTTATTATTATTTCTGACACATTGGTCAAACAACACAAAGCCACAGGATTTTTCAGTGACTGCCATGAAACAGCAATAATTTTCTCAGCATGACTTAGAATAATCAAAAAGGAGTTTTCTGTATGATAGGGTAATATTTGTCCTGATTAAGCATTCAGGAATGGAAGTAGAAAGTGCAATGGGGAAATATACAGGAGATCACATATACAAACCTGCCTTGTATTTTCATCTATGAGATCAAAAAAAGCTCTAATGGTAGCCAGGATCAATTCTTTGCACCTAGAAGACAGAATAAGTGAAGTTACATCCAGAAGAGAAACATCCAGGGGAATAAAACTGGTCAGAAGAGACACTGCAGTAATATTATGCTGAAGTTATATTATTGTACAATGTGATAACAGGAGAGAACAGAGGGATGTACAGTCAGCCAATTAACCTTTGGGTCATTAGCTTACCACACTATGGAGAGATGGTCTGTTGAGGCCCAAGCTCTAGGCACAGCTGAGCTCTGTTTGGGGAAGGAAAAAAGTGCAGATTTTGTTAGTATTCAACATTTTAAAATTCTAAGCAAGCCTTTCCCCTCCTTATTTAAACATATTTGCACAATTATTAAAAAGAACAGTGTTCATCTTAAGAGTTTCAGGGACTTGGGTACAACAATGACTTCTTCGGTCAAAAATCTTACAAGTGCTGAAGCACTTGAAAACAAAACTTGTAATACAAAATGACCAAGTTATCTCTGTTATATAGCAGAGACTACAGAGAAAGGGCAAATAATGGTGTGAAGAAAACTTACCAAAAATTTACTTAAAGACAGTTTCTATGACTAATCTTACTATTTTAGTAAGTGATCCTGGCACACAGGATAGAAAGCTGCTGCTGAAAAATCAAGGGCATCCTCAACAGAAAGAAGCATCAGAACATCATGCAGAAAGAACTGGACAATTGGAAGCTATTCCTTTGTGTAAGTGTATTGTATGTATTGCATTTTAGGGACTAATAATATCAAAAATGCCTCCCCGAAACAGAGCTCTTCACCTCATTGTACAGTTTGATTCAAGTAAGCTATGAACTATTAACACATTACAGCTGGGAAGAAAAAAAGCAAACCAAACAACAACAAAGCAACACCTAAACCAAAAATCCCCCAAATCCACAAGGCAAAATAAAAAAACCCAAACCAAACCCACTCAAGAAAAAACTGGTACCACTACACAAGTGAGATCTCATGCAAAATTCTGGCACCAACACTCAATGAAAATGAAAGTAGGGAATGGTTACTAGGACAAAGGGAATGCAGAGCTAATCTTCTTAGCATAGCAGAATCAGAGCTGAGACTATTTATAGACAGCTTTCTGTGCAACGGACAGGGAGGTAAACACCAAGGGAATGCAACTATTTTAGACACTTCAAGCTGATGTCAGAACAAATGCAATTAAGAATTGGCTTGTGCAGTAAATGGAGGCTGGAAATTACAAATTTTCTCCCTACTGGGGAGTGTTTTCCAGCTTCTCCCATGTAAGGAACAGGTTGATGGCAGCGGGGTGGAATGACAAACCTAACTACTTTATGGTATCTCTTGATTAATTTTGGAAGGAGATAGACGCCTGCAAAAGCAGAAGAGTGGACTTGATCCAGTACATCCTGTCTATTGCTCAATTCTTTGAAAAGAAATAAATACAAAAGGAAGATCCTCAACCAGAGCTCTCTTTTTATAACCAACCAGTCTACTTCTATACTGCACATCTGTCAGTCTCCATATACAAATCTCTGGTAAAAATGCTGCAAAATGAAACCTGAGTTCTGGATCTGAAAAGGTGCAAGAAGGTGGTGAGAAGCAATAGTACTAAGTGGTACATGATTCAAATCAACCCCAACACATACTCTGCCAGTGGACACTCATTTATACTACATCAACTAGTTATGAATTTATGACCAACCATATACTATCTACTTTGTGGTTTTATATTTAGTTATCCTATCCTGCACATATAGACTATAAATAGACATCAATACATACATTACATAAATAACTATTTAACACAGCTCCATGCAAACCCCAAAAAGTAGTTTGCTTTTTTACCACAACAGATAAGGCACTGTCATGTTGACTCGATCTTGGTAGAAAAGCCAGTCCTGAACGAACTTGGTAATCTCTGAATCCTCCCGCCACAGAAAGGGTAGTTAAATTTCTTAACTCTTGGGCCTTTAGAATCCAATGATTGTTTACAGCTGTATAAAAATCTATAAAATATATTAAAATAAATCACAATTTCCCCATGAGTCTACTTGATATACAAAAAAACCTGTAGAAACATTTAACTAAAAGTTTCTGTAAGCCCCCCCAGAGGCATTCAAGCTCTGATTATCACTTTTGAGTCACATAAGGAAAGGTAATTATTATTTTAACCCGAAGGAGGTAGCAGTTATGAAAGCCAGATATGCTTACATCTTCTATATCAGCTGAGCACATATATTGTTACAGTAGCAAGCCATAGATAGATTTGAAGGACAGCCACAGTCCAGGAAGTCAGCAAGGAAGAAGCATTGCTTTGCGATCAATTACAGGAGAATTAACATAAGCACAATAAATCAAGTTCAACAGCTAAAGATAATCCATTCCTCTCGGGTGCCATAGAGAATAATGAAAATAAATGTTTATTCCCTCCCCTTCACCAATTCCCTAAACATCCACATGTAGCAGCACAATTGTCACTGAGCACATATCAGTATAGTTTTGTCAAATTTAGCTTTTCAAGAAGTGTATAGTACATGCATAATGATGATACTGTGGCATATTTTCTCATGCCACATATCTAGGTAAGCAGAAAATGCAATCCATCTTTTGTGTAAATATACTATATAAAGTATATAAATAGATGTATATTTAATATTGTCACCTCCCAAACTTTGGGCATGACAAGCATGAAGTGTAGCAACTTCTACAGAAATCATGCTATTGAGGCAACTAAAAAAATAAATAATAAATATTTATTATCATTTATTATTTATGATATGTCATTTATGAATAAATAAATAAATTATAAAGAACAGCATTAGAGAGGTCAGGTTTTACAAATAGAAAGAAAAAATGCCATTCGCTGGAGAGCTTAGAAATTCAGTTATATGCTCTGCAACTCACTACAATTACAAATTATTGAGAGCTCCAGAAGCTCAAGTCCCCATAATCCATTTTATATCACACTTTACTTTCTCCCAGCATCCCAGTGCTCTGAATCAACCACCTGAGTAACAAAGGAATAGATTACAGTAAACTAAACGGCACATTTTGCTGGTGATTTGCTCTATTAATGCTTGAGATGCTCGACAAAGAAATACAACATAATTAGATAACCTGCAATACTTACCAGTAAGGTATTTGTCCAAAGGCATTACAGGTGCAACGTGAGGTGTGGCTTGTGTAATGAGGAGGTTTATAAGTTCAGGCTTAAAATTCTTCAGCGTAAGCAATGCTCTTGCAACAAGACCACCCATGGAATGACCTACTATTGCAACGCTGGTTGGTGCAAATTCTCGATCCTTAAGCAAAGAGTAGTACATCAAAAATAGATTGGACATTGAACTATGGTGATCAGTTATACTTTTTTTTTCCCCACCAGAATTCACTCATGTCCTCTCAAGGATAATACTAACAAGTACCTACTTCACAAGTTTACAAAAGGAACACAAATTTACCTGCTGTCACAACCAAATGTGCTTAACATGAAGTTTCCAGCTCAAAAGGAAATATTACATAGCCTGTGCATACACAAGAAATTTAGGCTTATTTTAATTTCTAAGAGTCTTGGGGACACAGAATACCAAAGAACTTTCCTAGAGAAAAATGGAAGTAGGGGGATGTTGTATTCATATTTTATTAAACCAGGGAAAGTTTATGTCTCTACTACAAAAAAGCATATATTGTGCATGGAAGTACTTATTTAGAAACACAATACAGAACCTGACCAAAGCTCTGGGATTGTCACAAGTATTAAAAATCTCCTAAAGAACAGCAATTTTCTGTTGCATTATTATCACTTTCAATTATCCTCACACATTATAAACTCTCCTTCCCTTATCATTCATTCAGTTTTCCAGTAGAAAAGGCAGCCAGAATTCCATTCCCAAATGCAAGTACATCATTCAGCATACATCACTACTTACCTTGTACAACTTCAGAATTACTTTTATGCATTCATGCACAAACTTGGTCTGTCGTTGCAGACTACCACCATACAATGCAACCAATTCCTCATTAAAGTTGACACTGAAGAAATTAAAATGATACTTGAAGTCAACATCTTCTGCTTTTCTAAGTGCAATGGAGCCAAGAGAACGTACTAGGAAAAGAAACCACATCAATTAGAACAGTCTAATACTCACTGCTTAGCACCATCATAGATAAACACATAAATAATCTATTAAGAAACAAATGTTACCTTAAGCACATTATAAATAGAGATGAAAAAGTAAAAAAAGGATGAAAAAGACATCTAAAAGCAAGTAATCTCTTTTCTCATGTGCAACCACACTTGTTTTACAAAAACAGATCTGAAAACATAGAGAAAAAGTTATCAGCCAGTCACTGTCAGAACTGAACTGTAAAATGGGAAAAGATACAAAAATTTCCTATTTTCATAGGAATTCCTCTGTTCAAAATAAAAGAGTAAACATATCATAACAAGAGCTTACAGAAGAATGTGGAAAAGCAAAAGCTGATCAGATGAAAAGAAAGTTTAAAATGAGTTACCAAGCATATTGTTAACATGCTAGGCTTATGGCAGTTAACCACTACCTTACCACTGACTGCAGAGATATTTTATATCAAAACTAAATTTATGCAAGATCAAGGATTACGTTCCTCCACGTAAGGACTGCTTTTCTCATCTCATTTGCACCTTTTCTAGCACCACTAGGACAAGAAGGCAAAAGGAGCATTCTTGACTTCAACTCCAGAGGCACTGCAACTGCTAGACTTTCCTAAAATGCCCTTGAAGACTCTAGGACAACATTCCCAAATACCATTGAGATGTATAGAGGATTGGAAAACCAAACCCCACTTGATGTATAAAGGATTGGAAAACCAAACGTTTACACCTGAAGCCTTCAGGGAGAAAATGTTCTGTTTACAAGGTCTTGCTTCTGACCTGTCTTCTCCATCTAACCCTGTCTGCTATATAATACTGCCTTCTGAGTGCAGAATTGTCCCTGAGTTTCCATGGACATATGGCAAGATGGAAACAGTAACAGCTGCAAATAAAAAAGCATGGTAAGGAAATAAGAAAATAAAAGAAAGTCCCAAAAAGCAAGTATATAAAATAACTAATGATGGCCAGAAAGGTCTGCCCAAATCCAGCACACAGAAGCAAGGTTCTTCTAGAGTGCAACAGTTTCAGAGATCTGCAGCCTGCAGAATCCTCCTTGTTGGAAAAGTTTGCTGTATAAAGTCATGTATCAAACAAATTTCAGTGAAGCTCATGAAATGGGAAAGTAATATTTTTGAAATATTTCATATGTTCAAAGACCCAAACAGATATTATCAGCATGATGAAAAATTATAAATCTGATTTGTAGTCAATCATTTCTGTAATTCTAACTACAGCTAATAAGCAATAAGAACACTTGCAAAATGGCTTGAAAAAGACAAAAAGTGTTTAAAGATCAAGTATCTTATCACATATTTATACCTTGGAGGTTATGGTAAAATTAACAAGAATATTGCCAAAGATCACAAAGCAAGTGTGTGACAGATTCCTAACTAAATAGAACCGGGATCTCAGTTCTCCCAGTCTCAGGCTCATTCCCAACAATTAAATCAGACAACCACCTTCCACTCCAAATCTGAATTCTGTACATTTTAAAAGGCTAATTTTAGTGCCCACAGAAGATGAAGCACTAACATGTTTCAAAAAGTGCCTGTAACACATCAAATCTTCCTGAAAGGAGGTTGTAGCAAGGTGGGTGTTGTCTCTTCTCCCAATTAACAAGCAATAGGACAAGAGAAAATGGCCTCAAGTTGTGCCAGGGGAGGTTTAGATTGGATATTAGGAAAATTTCTTCACAGAGAGGGTTGTCAGCCATTGGAACAGGCTGCCCAGAGAAGTGATGGAGTGACTATCCCTGGAGGTATTTCAATGACTTATAGATGGTGCTTGGGGACACAGTTTACTGGTGGACTTGGCAGCATTAGATTTATGTTTGGACTTGATAATCTTAAAGGTCCTTTCCAACCTAAATGATTCTATGATTCTATGAAACTAATGAGCCCAGCAAAGGCAGCAGCAGCACTTCTCTCTTCACTGCTCAGCAAATATTTCCATCTTCTAAGAAATTATGAGAAGAACAGTAGCAACACTTTCTCTGCTCATCTAAGTATCAGAATGAGAGCGTGCTATCCCACAATAAATTCTGAACAAAATACGAATTTTCATAAATTCCGTAATAAACCAAAAACTATTGTGAGCCATTAAGGCAGAAAAATTTATTTTAACAAAGATTTTGAAAAATGCACATATGACTTGTTGCCAGTTTCCCCAAAGCAATTCCTCTAAGTCTTTAAATATTTACTGATTCTATCGGCACGTTATGTCCATAGCATGTAGCACTTCTATTCACCCAGTTTAGGTTTTTATTCAGATAGTTCCTTTTGATTCCTAACATGCCCCAAAAAAGTACTATTCTATTTCCTGCATAGTGATGTGCTGCTGTGTTTACAGAGACAGCATTAATTCACAGATCTGCAATACTTCACGCACAACTACAAAAGTCTATATGGCGTCCCTCATAATCATTGTTTGCAGTCTTCTTTGGATGCTGTTGTGCCTGCATGGGTTTTCTGAAAGGCTGAATTGGTAAAATATTTTACTTTGTCATAAGTTAAGTGAGTATGTACCAAAAGAAAGTAACTTTGCAACGATTCTCTGAAATCAGATTATTTAATCATCAAGCTTAGTGCAAATATGAGGAAAAATTATCACAGTAAGACATCAGGGTTCAGATTGTAGTGGTTTTCCCCATTCATACACAACAACTTTGCTAACATCCTAAGAGTGTTACTGTTTCAAAGCCCATTTTAGAGAACAAAAATAAGAGTCTGACAAAGCCAGCCTGGAAGGAATACCATATACCTGAATAAACACTGAAACACAATACTTCATGTTCATTGAACCACTAATTTCTGTATTTACAATGAAAAACTAAAATGCTTTAAAACAATTACTTCTTTTCGTTTGGAGCCTTGGAGTGTGAGAGGGTTTAATCTGAAAACCAAAAGCAGGCTGTGTGTAAAGTGGAAAGATGATGCAAAGGAGAAAACACCACTACATAAAGTAGTAGGAAATAATGAAGCTACAGAGCAAGCCACAAGATGATGCCTATTTCAATAGCATGTAATTACTTCACATCACAGATGGTAGCTTGTTCAGTTTCTTCTAATCAAATTCAGGTCTTGTTTTATTTGGCGTAACTGCACTAAACGTGTTCAAATCAAAACCAACTAGATGTTTGCAATCAAAATTACAGCAGGGGTACCATAATACGGCATAAACTGTACTGCTTCTGGCTTGCAGAAGTTAAAGTCTCACTCCAGAAAAATATCATAGCTCAACTGTTGACTGATTTCAAACAAAAAATAATGTATTCTGACTGCTTGAACTTCACTATGGACTAAGAAGGATATTTACATCTTAATAGGATTGATCATCCTGACTTGATATTATTTCAAATAGAAAACTTTTTGCCACTAACACATCAACACGAGAGCTCTTCGTAACATGCCTGTAACTCAGCAAAACACTCACCTTGTTTGTAACTGCCAGCATTTCCAGGAAGAAAAAGAACTGGAATTCCTGTCAATAGAAGATTTTTGTTTTCTTTGGCGTAGTTTCCTTCCCCATAGAGATAGAGCTCATATGCTGGGTATCGTCTGGCTGTTTTCTTGGGTAATTTTATTTTCTGTTGCAAAAGTTAAAAAGAAACTAAGTATCTCTTTTATTCTGTTGCCAACAAGAAAACACAGTGTCTATCCAGTCATTTAAATCACCTGGCTTATGTTTCATGTATTGTTTTAAATTACAGGCTAAAGAATACAGAATGAAAACTCATTTTTGCTTTAAAAAAATCCATGAAGTATCAAGTGGTTTGTTTAAGTAGAGTATTACTGTGCATAACAAGTGGCTGCAGTTATTTATTTTAAACAGCTATTGACTTTACCTGGATTTGAAACAAACTGCAAATAATGCAATTATGTATCTTTTAAAGATGCATATTCACACAGTAAATCCAGGGGGAATTCCAGGGGGAAAGCATGCCCAAATGCAACCACTTCTCCCAGGACATCAGAATTTGAGACCAGAAACTAGGGCACATAAGTGATCCTAACGCACCTGAACAGTTCTGGAATCTTTCCCAATACCATGTAACTCCAAACAAGGAGTGCCTCTGTGCCTGATACCAAAGATAAATCTTGAGAATAGGGGTATGTAGGCGACTGTCAGATGACAACTCTTATGTCAGGGTAAATTACAGATGTGGTGTGAGTTCTCTTAGATGATTGAGAGATGTAACCTGCAATGGGAATTTAAACCACCTTAACACGGCTGGTGAGAAAAAAAATAAACCCATGATACTTCAAGGGCTTGGGTTTGTTGTTGTTTTCAGAGTCAGTTTTGTGGCCTAGTGACAAAAACCTGATTTTGTAACAATAGGATCCAATTTACAGTCAATTGTCATCTTAAAGGTGGCCATATTTCTTGTATTAAAACAAAGAGACAACAATTAACCACCTAAGCAATCGCTTAACTTATTCCCAAAGAGAAAAGAACAAAATCTCTTTGAGCCAGAAAGCCAGGTGATCATTAAGCCTTGGATCAGTAAGTTATGACTCTTAGAGACATATGACACTTCTTTAAGCCAAATAAGTGGTAAGCAGGAAAACATTTAACACCTGTATGGAGGTTGGCTGGTTTATAATCCTGAGTTTGTAAGACATGGAATTTTAAACATTCTAAGAATAGAAATACACCTGCTATACCATTTGATTGCTTATGTTACAACAGCTAAGAGATAGGATCATTAAAAAGAAATTTATTAAGGTGTAATTTGTATTTTAAGGAAACACTGTTTTACAGAATAGTTAAAACTAAATGATAGTCAAAATCAAACTCAGTTTTGCATCAGAAATCTCCAAAGTCTCTCAGAGATGCTTCTGGTTCAAGCAAGCAATTATTTCATGTATTTCAGTTGTTTCTCTCAACTGTATCTACAGTAAAGGCAATTTACCTTTAATTCCCTGCCCACGCACACTCTTAAAATCTTCCCCTGTTCTTCTCTGTATCTCCTCAGCTAAAGACTATTCCCTTTCTCTCTTAGCCTTCAAATTGTTTGCCATATTGGTTATTTGCAACCTCTTCTTATGATGTTTGATACATGTGTTTAAAATGTATGCTCTATAATATATATAAACATATTTTTATGATATTATGTTATATAAGAAAATACTCAGAAAGAGCATGTTCAATTCCTTCATTGTGAACAAAACATGTTAAGCTTTGTTCAGGGCTTATGTCTTCAGGTCATTCTTTCAATGTTCTTTCCCTTTTCTCCATCATCTCACCTTTGCAACTTCACTGACCTCACTGTCCCTTTCTCATTCCTTTCTACTGCTCCTTTTTCAATAGCTTTCAAAATTATGTGAAGAAAAAAAATCCAAACACCTTAAATTATTCATTTTCCATTTACTAAACTAAGTGCTATCAAGATACATTTATGACTTCCTGACTGATCAAATCAACTGTATCTTTCCTTGCTTCAGTCTCTTTTCAAAAACTTCTACCGAACATACAATTAATGAGCTCCCCTTCTTTGGGTCAATGTTGAAAGCAAAAACCTACACAACCCATGAGAATCGTACAACCGAAATAATGGGGGGTGTGGCAGGGGGTGGTGGTGTCAGTTAATCACAATGCTCAAATACTGTAACAAAATAGCAATGTGTAACTGCAGAAAAAAAAAGAAGTTAGTGTTCCATAAGAGTGGTTTTAAATTCTGAATTCCCAAGATATTGCTTATATAATTGGTTGTAATGAGCTACAGTAACTTTTCACAATGTCAATGTAGGCTCCATTTTTCATCCTGGTTCCCAAAGAGATTAGGCTTAGGTGAAAAAGTCCTCATTACTAACTTCCAAATCTCTCCCCAAACATAGCTGAAAAGAACAAGGATAGGCTAAATTCAACCGCTGCAATTCAACTCACACAACAAAAGATGGCTAAACTGATTCCATTACTTAGTATTAGCTTGACTGTGAGCCAACCCACACTGTTAGACATAAAAGAATCGAAACTTCCTATGTTTAATTGCTCAAATAGTTATTTTGTAAAGTGATAACCCAATCTGGAAGGGAGAACAGGTACTTTTCACCTTAAATTCCTACTATTGAGAGGCAATACAGCCAGCTGGGACTTGCATCTCCTGCATGGAACTACTGCTTGCCCTTAACTGCTTGCATCTCCTACCAGCGCCGTGCTTGCCTAAAGATGCTAAGAATTTAAGCCCTGTCATAAGGATTAAACACTGAAAAGGTGTGGTGGCAGGTAAGAATGTCAGGCAACCACCAAAAACATCACACAGATTTTGCTAGTAACTTTCCGCTGGCTGGCCTCAGCCTGAAACTGAAACAGGTTTTGGCTGCTAGATCTGAGAACTTACCACATAGTACTTCAGTATTTACACCCACTTAACCCATTCTGCCCTACAGCACTGACAAAACAACCCTTGTAGCTATACCAAGGGTCTCTTTTGTAGACTAACATGACTATGTCAAGGTTAACAAATGAAGGTTAACAGATTCAAAAATTAACTGTCTGCTTCATGACCGATTTAGGTACTAAGGTTGTTTTAAGATCTTCTTTATTGTGCAAGCCAGCTTGCAACCTACTTCAGAACAGAGTATTATTTAGAATAATTAGATTATATCCTAGATAATGCCAAATGAATGTTTAGGAGCCAATAAATTATGCTTTGGGGTGCTTTTAATAGGACAGAAAATCCTGCACTAAGAACTACTGTTAAAAAAGATAAATTGGTTTTTTAACAACTACATGCAGTATTAGTGGTGAAGCTACACACACTCACACACATCCTCCCCCTATTAAACCGTAACACCGTGTCTGGAAAACAACAGTTCCATCAGCAGTCTTCTCTCTCAAACCGATCCGACGTTTTTCAAAGCGCTTTTTAAAAGGCTTCATTAGCAAAGTGAGAGGAACTTCAGAGAGATTTACAAGTTCTCCCATACATCATGGGATGTGCTATCGACAAAGCGCTCACCAAGACGACTTTGCACTGCTGTTCGTTAGCTTGAGAAATACCCTCATGTTTACATCTCTGATTCACCGGTGGTTGCTTCACTGTTCTATAAAGTCACAAAAAGGACCAGGAAGTACAAGACCGCCTCCTGGTCAGTGACAGCTCTGTGAGTGCTGTCAGGAACCTAGCCCAGCCTCTTCCTTTACCAAAAAGCTCGGATGAGCTTTTGACTGCTTTTACCAGAACTACAGGTAGCTACAAGCGGAAGCTTTTCCATTCATTTTCTGTTGTACAGGTGGCAGTACCAAACACCTCGGTCACTTCACAGGCAGACCACCGCTTTTCCCCTCTGCAGCTACCCCAGATGCACCCGTACAGGGGGCAGACAAAGCAGCGCTCTCTGCCAAACACACCGACCCCTCGAACGTGACCCGTTAACAGCTCTGCAGAGGCCGCCTCAGCAAGTTGGCGGCCCTCAAAGTTCGGGGAGCACCCGCGGCCGAGCGCGTTCGGGGCTGTTCCTTGCCCTGAGGCAGAGCAGGG